CAGGCCAAACTGTGGACTTTGTTGGGCGTTCCATACACTTACTAACAACACCCATTTAAATTCACACTACACATCAATGGCTACTACTCAGCTCTGGGCTGTCATTGGCTAATTGTACATTACTCGACTTGTGATTGGTCATTCCACCCTCTAAAGCCATAGTTAAAAACTGTATATTATAAAAATTCCCTTAGGATCGGCTGAGACACTGGTGCATTATTTCACACCTTTCACATAACAAGGACTGACGTTATACACAAGAGACATTCATTATAATTATACACTAGAGTATAGACGGACATTACAGTATATACACCAAGGAAAAATCTTAAACACGTCATTGACAATCATTATTTACACTGACAGATACTCATCACGCATACGAGGGGCATCCTGTACCTCACTCACCAGTCACTCACTACTGCGTCATGTACCTCACTCACCAGTCACTCACTACTGCATCTTGTACCTCACTCACCAGTCACTCACTACTGCATCTTGTACCTCACTCACCAGACCTCACTACTGCATCTTGTACCTCACTCACCAGTCCTCACTACTGCATATTGTACCTCACTCACCAGTCCTCACTACTGCATCTTGTACCTCCTCCACCAGACACTCACTACTGCATCTTGTACCTCACTCACCAGTCCTCACTACCATCTGCTGCACCTCACTCACCAGTCACTCACTACTGCATCTTGTACCTCACTCACCAGTCACTCACTACTGCATCTTGTACCTCCTCACCCAGACACTCACTACCATCATGTACCTCACTCACCAGACACTCACTACTGCATCCTGTGCCTCACTCACCCAGACCTCCCCCACACGTGCCCTCACTCACCAGTCCTCACCTACTGCATCTTGTACCTCACTCACCAGTCACTCACTACTGCATCTTGTCTCCTCACCAGTCACTCCCACTACTGCATCATGTACCTCTCACTACTGCGTCATGTGCCTCACTCACCAGTCACTCACTACTGCATCTTGCCTCACTCACCAGTCACTCACTACCATCTTGCACCTCACTCACCAGTCACTCACTGCATCCTTGCCTCACTCACCAGTCACTCACTACTGCATCTTGTCCCTCACTCACCAGTCACTCCTGCTGCATCTTGTACCTCACTCACCAGTCACTCACTACTGCATCTTGTACCCACTCACCAGTCACTCACTACTGCATCTTGTACCCTACCCACAGACACTCCACTACTGCATCCTGTACCTCACTCACCAGACACCCCTACTGCGTCATGTACTCCACTCACCAGTCACTCACTGCTGCATCTTGTACCTCACTCACCAGTCACTCACGGCCTCCAGCACCTCTCAGAAAAGTGTGTGGTCATCACTCGGTAAGAATTTAGCAAACAATGACTTACTTGGAAAGTCTGAACAATAAAACGCTGTGTGTTGAAATGACGTCGTTGAAATCCGAGGACTTGTGTGTCTGCTTTTATTATTTTTATTTGTCTCTTTACCACTCATTAGTTCCTGCACCTGATTGAGGATGACTTCCAGTAGTACAAATTTCACAGTAACCTGCCAGAGGTATAACTTTGAGTACAAAGGCCATCCTGCTGAGGCCAGGCGCTCCTGTCACTGCCAATCTACCATAGGATATCACGGTGTGAAGGAGTGGAACAATAATACTGTGCCCTCAACCATTCCAGGAGAGATTTCCCTCCGTTACTGTAAAACAACCTCTCAAAAGTCACCCAGTTTCTCAATCCTAAAATATTTATCACACTTATCCTAACGATAAGTAATCATGTTCTCTTTTTTTTATAATTCCATAGATCATAACATCATTGTTTATATTTCATCATTGTAAATATTAGTATTAGGAAATACTGTTATGTTTATAATATTCCAGTGAGGCAGGCTCACAACCACGTGTTTCATCCACACCACACCAGAGGCAGGCTCACAACCACGTGTTTTTATCCCACACCACACTGAGCACCACCAGTGAGGTGGCTCACAACCACGTGTTTCATCCACACCACACTACACTCACCAGTGAGGCAAAAAATGCACAACCACGTGTTTCCTCCACACCACACTACACCACCAGTGAGTAAGCAGAAGTTCCACAACCACGTAAGCCTCCACACCACACTGCCACACCACCAGTGAGGCAGGCTTCACAAACCACGTGCGTTTCTATCCACACTCCACACTACACCACACCAGTGAGGCAGGCTCACAACCACGTGTTTCATCCCACACTACACCACCAGTGAGGCAGGCTCACAACCACGTGTTTCCTCCACACCACACTACACCACCAGTGAGGCAGGCTCACAACCACGTGTTTCCTCCACACCACACTACACCACCAGTGAGGCAGGCTCACAACCACGTGTTTCCTCCACACCACACTACACCACCAGTGAGGCAGGCTCACAACCACGTGTTTCCTCCACACCACACTACACCACCAGTGAGGCAGGCTCACAACCACGTGTTTCCTCCACACCACACTACACCACCAGTGAGGCAGGCTCACAACCACGTGTTTCTCCACACCACACTACACCACCACAGCAGAGGTTGGTTTCAACCACGTGTTTCTCCCACACCACACTACACCACCAGTGAGGCAGGCTCACAACCACGTGTTTCCTTCCACACCACACTACACCACCAGGAGGCAGGTCTTTGACAACCACGTGTTTCTCCACACACTACACCACCAGTGAGGCTCACAACCACGTGCTTCCTCCACACCACCACACCACCAGTGAGGCAGGCTCTCACAACCACGTGTTTCCCTCCACACCACACTACACCACCAGTGAGGCAGGCTCTCACAACCACGTGCTTCTCCACATCAGCCACCGGCAGGCAGGCCCACCACGTGCTCTCTCCACACCACACCATACCACCAGTGAGGCAGGCTCACAACCACGTGTTTCTCCACACTACACTACACCACCAGTGAGTAAAAGGCTCACAACCACGTGTTTCTCCACACCACACTACACCACCAGTGAGGCAGGCCTTCACAACCACGTGCTCTCCACACCACACATCCACACACCACCAGTGAGGCAGGCCACAACCACGTGTTTCTCTCCACACCCACACTACACCACCAGTGAGGCAGGCTCACAACCACGTGTTTCATCCACACCACACTACACCACCAGTGAGGCAGGCTCACAACCACGTGTTTCATCCACACCACACTACACCACCAGTGAGGCAGGCTCACAACCACGTGTTTCATCCACACCACACTACACCACCAGTGAGGCAGGCTCACAACCACGTGTTTCCTCCACACACACTACACCACCAGTGAGGCAGGAGGTTTCCTCCACACCACACACACCACCAGTGAGGCAGGCTCACAACCACGTGTTTCATCCACACCACACTCCACACCACACTACACCACCAGTGAGGCAGGCTCACAACCACGTGTTTCCACACCACACTACACCACCAGTGCAGGCTCACAACCACGTGTTTCTCCACACCACCAGTGAGGCAGGCTCACAACCACGTGTTTCATCCACACCACCAGTGAGGCAGGCTCACAACCACGTGTTTCATCCACACCACACACACCACCAGTGACCACACTACACCACCAGTGAGGCAGGCTCACAACCAACCTCCAGTCCACACACCACCAGTGAGGCAGGCTCACAACCACACACACCACCAGTGAGGCAGGCTCACCAACCACACACCACCAGTGAGGCAGGCTCACAACCACAGTTTCTCCACACACCACCAGTGAGGCAGGGCTCCACACCACCAGTGAGGCAGGCTCACAACCACAGTTTCCTCCACACCACCAGTGAGGCAGGCAGCAGGCTCACAACCACACTTTCCTCCACACACCACCAGTGAGGCAGGCTCACAACCACACTTTCCCCACACCACCAGTGAGGCAGGCTCACAACCACACTTTCTCTCCACACCACCAGTGAGGCAGGCTCACACCACACTTCTCCCACACCACCAGTGAGGCAGGCTCACAACCACACTTTCCTCTCAGTGAGGCAGGCTCACAACCACACTTTCTCCACCACCCAGGCTCACAACCACACTCCACACCACCAGTGAGGCAGGCTCACAACCACACTTTCCTCCACACCACCAGTGAGGCAGGCTCACAACCACACTTTCCTCCACACCACCAGTGAGGCAGGCTCACAACCACACTTTCCTCCACACCACCAGTGAGGCAGGCTCACAACCACACTTTCCTCCACACCACCAGTGAGGCAGGCTCACAACCACACTTTCCTCCACACCACCAGTGAGGCAGGCTCACAACCACACTTTCCTCCACACACCACACCACTAAATTTTCAATGATTCACAGATAACCTGTATGTTAACTCCATGTCTTTTTTTTATAATGAAAGCGTGTGTTAATAAACCACTCCCCAGTATCCCTGTAGGTAATTTCTAAGGCATTATTTGTCCATTGCATATTTTCGGCCTCTGGCTGCTGTAATTTTCAATAAGCCGTTATGTAGTATTAATAATAATATTATTTTGTCTTACAAAATCCTGACAACGACAAGTTTCCAAATATTCGTGTATTTGTTTAAATAATGAAGAAATTATTTTAATGAATTTGCAACTAACTTAACCACAGCTGCCACCAGATCAAATTTCTTCATTATTTAAGTAAATATACGAATATTTGGTAACTTCTCATTCTCTTAAATAACGATAAATGGTTAAAGATCATAAAAATGTTACTTTTGGTTTGTTTAATATTTATCCTGACAGTGATACAGCTGAAAATAGATCCACCAATCACAATCCCCGTCACATTCAGCCTTACTTCACCAAGTATTGCCAGGGTGGGGTCGATGGTTAACTGTACAGCCTAACTGAAGATTAACCACCCTTATGCTAGCCTTACTAAACCCATTAGGGCGGTTAATTTTCAGGTGGGGAACAAAGAATCAGGTGATTTCTACCTGATGATTAATCTTGTAAGTGATTGACAGGTTACGGATTGGTTTCACTGGCGGTAGTGCTCGTAGTCACAACCATGTGTGACGCCACCAGCTCCAAGACTCTTGTGCCTAATATCCCAGCTAGTGTAACCTTGGAGACCACCAGCCTCTACAACCTGTGGACTCACGCACTCCGGCAGCAAAAGGACGGGAGAGGCAACCCACTGAGGGCTGATGGACCAGGTCAGTGTACTAGTGATCTTGTTTATATAGGACCACTTTATCAGTGACCTGAATCATGACAGGTAGTTTATCAATGACCTAGATCATGACAGGTAGTTTATCAGTGACCTGGATCATGACAGGTAGTTTATCAGTGACCTGGATCATGGTCAATTTCACTGTCATGTACACTATGGTCAAGCTCACTGTCATGTACACTATGGTCAAGCTCACTGTCATGTACACTATGGTCAAGCTCACTGTCATGTACACTATGGTCAAGCTCACTGTCATGTACACTATGGTCAAGCTCACTATGGTCAAGCTCACTGTCATGTACACTATGGTCAAGCTCACTGTCATGTACACTATGGTCAAGCTCACTGTCATGTACACTATGGTCAAGCTCACTGTCATGTACACTATGGTCAAGCTCACTGTCATGTACACTATGGTCAAGCTCACTGTCATGTACACTATGGTCGAGCTCACTGTCATGTACACTATGGTCAAGCTCACTGTCATGTACACTATGGTCAAGCTCACTGTCTGTTATAAATAATGAGGAGAAAACAGAAGTGTATTATTACTGTATAGAACAAGGAATCAGAGGTGGTGGCCTCTTGGGAAAGTTACCTTTGTGGACATTGTTGTGTAGTGTGGGATGAGGAAGGGCCGACGAGTGAAGGAGACTCGTATATTACTGATCAACGTGAAATAATGTGAAATATATATTTTTTTTCATTCACTCTTTTTCACTTATGATGATTTTAAAATTTTCCGAAACAATATTTTTCTCCAAAGATTCATGACTGATTCTGTATTATTTTTATCATGTGTCTCATTTAGGAATGTTGTGTTCTTAAATGAATAAATACATGTAATAAAATATGATGTTGGACAATTTCAGGTCCCAACACCATCCTGTCTCCTGAAGCCAATTTCAGGTCCCAACACCATCCTGTCTCCTGAAGCCGGGAAGATGGTAAACCTTGCACCTATGGATGGCCCTCACCCGCTCTACGCCGATGAGTACACTGACCTACGAACTGAATTTCTACTTGACCACATGATAGCAGAAGCTGTGAGTCCTGATGATGCCAGAATGTCACGGCCTGAGGGTCTTACTGTCAACAACCTCAATGGAAAACAACTTACATTGAAGAAGGACGCCTCGGGTAACCAAAACACCTCACAACTCTCATATTTTCTCCTTTTATTAGTGTACTGTAATTGTTGTAGTTGTTCCTCTTAATCATAATAGGAACAATCAGTGTTTAATCTATCAACCCCCACACTACCCTCCACCACTCCAACTCCCACACTACCCTCCACCACTCCAACTCCCTCACTACCCTCCACTACTCCCTCAACCCCCACACTATCCTCCAATACTCCCTCGACCCCCACACTACCCTCCACTACTCCCTCAACCCCCACACTACCCTCCACTACTCCCTCAACCCCCACACTACCCTCCACTACTCCCTCAACCCCCACACTACCTCTCCTACCCTCCCCTCAACCCCACACTACCTCCACTACTCCCTCAACCCCCCTCCACTCCCTCAACCCCACACTACCCTCCACTACACACTCCTCCACTACTCCCTCAACCCCCACTACCCTCCACTACTCCCTCAACCTCCACACTACCATCCTACTCCTCAACCCCCACACCCCTAACTCCCACACTACCCTCCACTACTCCCTCAACCCCACTACCCTCCACACCCTCAACCTCCACACTACCCTCCACCACTCCGTCAACTCCCACACTACCTCCACCACTCCAACCCCACATTACCCTCCACCACTCCTCAACCCCCACACTGTCCTCCACTACTCCCTCAATCCCCACCCTACCCTCCACTACTCCCTCAATCCCCGCACTACCCTCCACTTCTCCCTCAACCCCCGCCCTACACTCCACTACTCCCTCAACCCCCACACTACCCTCCACTACTCCCTCAACCCCCGTTAGCCACTTGGGCGATCGGTCACGTCTCTAATTACTTTTCCTTTTCTTTTACCCTCTTCACCAAAAGATTGGCTCCTTAGCCGCTTGGGCGATCGGTCACGTCTGTTATGCACTGTTGGCAAGTACTGGGCATGCACCGGCTCCTGAATGTACCTGAACCCGCTCCAGTGTTGGTCAAGTCTTGTCTTGAAAGAGCTCACACTCGGTGCTGTCACAACACTTCCTGGTAGATGGTTCCAAGAGTTCACAACTCTCACTCCGAGAAAGTTTGCTCTCACAGTTTTCTGGACCTATGGCTTCTTCAATCTTGAGCTGTGGCCCCTTGTGGGGCGAGCGTCCGCCACCTCCAAGTAAGGACACTCGACTGAGTAGTGTCCCTTGAGATGCTTATGCACCTCAATTAGGTCACCCCTTGCCCGTCTGTAGTATAAGCTAGGCAAGATCAGGCGCTATAATCTCTCTGGGTAGCTGAGGTGCCGAAGTGCAGGCACCAGTCTGGTGGCCCTCCTTTGAACATTTTCAACCAACTGACAGTCCCTAGTATATCTCGGGGACCAGACGGGGTGACAGTACTCCAGATGGGGAAGCACTTCGCTCTTGAAGATCGTTACGAGGGACGGATCGTCTAGATATCTGAACAACCTTCTTATAAGACCCAATAATTTTTTTGCCTGATTTACCTTCTTCTCGCAATGGCGTGAGAACTTCAGCTCATTGTCAACATGCACACCTAGGTCCTTCTCACATTCAGTCTCAAATAGTGCAATTTCTTCATCCTGTTGGGACATATATGATACGCCTCCTTACCGTTGGTACGCCCAGGTGCATCCTCTTACACTTCGTGACATTGAATCTCAGCAGCCATTTCTTCGACCATTCTTGGAGCCCACAGAGGTCCTTCTGCAGCTCTTCACAGTCCGCTTGGTTCTTGGTTTCCCGAAATAACTTGGCGTCATCGGCAAACATTTGTATGGAGGAGTGTACAACGTCAGGCATGTCATTTATGAAACAAACAAACAGCGGGCCCAATACACTGCCCTGTGGTACCCCACTTGTGACAGGTACGGATGATGATTTCGTGCCATTAATCCCACACACTGCTTGCGGTCACGTAGAGTCTTCTATCCACGCTAGGACATATCCCCGAATTCCGTACCCTTCCAGTTTGATTTTCAGCCTTTCGTGGGGTACACTGTCGATGTTACCACCCCGTTCCGGAATATGGGTCTAAATATCCAATACCTTGAGCAGGAGCGCCCCGGCATAAAACCGTGTTGGCAATCCTTTACAAGGTTGTTTCGTAGTAGATGTTCCATTGCGGCATCTCTGATAATACTCTCAAGTACTTTACATATTATGCTGCTCAGGCTCACTGGTCTAGTTGTTCGTGGAGTGACGATCGCCCTTTTTGAAGATAGGACTCGCAAAAGCCACTTTCCATTCACTGGGGACCTTTTGTTCATCCAGGCATTTACAAAACAGGATATTGAGGGGGCTCTGCAAGCTCGTTGCACAACTCTCTTAGCCCTCTAGCATGCACCATGTCAGGGCCGGGACTCTTATGGACCTTTAGCCTGGACAGTTTATTTCTAATACCCTCCTCTGTGAACGCAATGTGGGTCAGTGCTGTGTCGAACCGTCTGTCCTCAAACGCAGGAAGGTTAATTGCATCCTCTTGTGAACACCGAGGAAAAGAAGCTGTTCAATGCCTCAACTTTATCCTGGTCATAATCTGATACTCCTACTCGCGTTTTTAATTTCGACTTTGCATAGCGGTAAAACGCCTTTGGGTTTGACTTGACCTTGCTTGCAACCAGCCTCTGGAACTCCTTTTCAGCCCTTCTACACTATCTTTGCTTGGTTTCTGGCTCTTGCATACATCCTCCTGTCCTGCTCATCGTTTGACCGAACCCACGTCTTGAATTTCTGGGTTTTCTTCTTTACTCTGTTGACCGCTGCGTGGTTCATGTGTAGGGATCCCCTCGTATTCCTAGAGGCACTGGGTTTGGTCTTGGGTATATATTTATCGATCAAATGGGTCACTTTACTAATTATGATATTCAGTGTAGTGTCTGCAATCTTGTGCCTAATTGAGTCGGGCCAGTTGATACCTCTCGTCTCTTCCCTCATCCCGTTGTAATTTCCCTTGTAATATTTGCACGTTGGCCTGGCCTTATCCTGAACTAGGTAACAGTTAAATCTGAATGACAACACTATATGGTGACTGGTGCCAACTGGGGCAAGGTGCTCCAGTTTGGCCACCATACCCTCCTCGTTTATGATGAGGTCAAGTGGCTTGGGTGTTTGCTCTCCTCTGTAATGTGTCGGGTCTCTAACATGTTGGAACAGGAAATTATCTCTCAGAGTTTCTACAAAAAGAGTAGCAGGGTTATTCAAGTCATTTGGGGTGAACTCGTTTCTCCAGTCGATGTCACCATAGTTAAAGTCCCTCATGATAAGGAGGTGGCTTGGGTTGAGCATCGCCGCATTGTCTATTAAGGCTCTTAAGTTCCTTTGAGTTAGTGGGCCACAGTTTGGGGATCTGTAGATACACCCGACAGTAAGTAAGTCCCCTCCCTTTAATTTAATTTTACACCACTTGGACTCTTCAAAAACATCCTCTCCCTGTACCCTAGCCTGGCTGGCTCTAAGGTCTTGCCTAGCATAGATAACCACACCCCTCTCACAAGGGATCTTGAATGTTTCATCTGTACTCATACATATCTCATGTTTTGTAATATAATTGTGTTCTCTCTCAATTTCAAATCTCTGAACATGTGAGGTATTAAAAAACATCAGAATTTCTGAGGTACTACTTGAGAGAAAACGGAGGACTATGGCCTCCTGAAGCGGGGAGAGAATGTACGTCTCAACTGGGGAACTTAACAATTTCACACGTTTTGTGGGTGATGTAGCATAATATGAATAATTAAGTGTTGAACAGACTGGCCATGCTATTGTGACAACATTGCAGGTTTAGCCTCACAATTTATTAGGAGTTTTTATTCCTCTGTTCAATATAATCTGACATTTTGGACAATATGCAATAATCTATGAATTATTCTGTATACCCCTGTACTGTACTAGTGTTCACCTCTTTCAATACCATTCCCTCCCTACACTGGTGCTCCCATACCCGTCTCTTCTCTTTAGTTAGCACAACCAACCTCCCCCACCATCATTCTCTCTTCTTGTTTTCACTCTTTGTTCTCTCATACTCAGAAAATTGAGCTGAAATTTCTGGATTGTTTTTATTTTTATTAAATTACTCACATTCTCCTTTACCCTCCTCTGTTTCATCCTTATTTACTGATGAAAACTTTCTCTCAGTCCTCTCTTTGTCCTTTTTTTATCTTCACACATTTTTAAATTATGTTTTACCCTCAACCTTTTATTCACTATTATCTTTGTTCCTATTAAATGGTAGCCAGAGACTCCGTGTGCAGCTCTTCATATCCATCCACTTGCTCTCCATATATCTAGTCGCCTGCAGTAAGAAGGCTGTTTTTTACACATTTGTATCAACTCTCTTCCACCTTCTGTGTGACATTCAGTGGAAAACAAGGTAGGGTGTAGAGACAGAGATCGAAGTGGAAGAGTAGAATGAGACATTAATAGCCAACATGTCCAATATTTTGTCTTGGTAACATTAACCATTACATTACAGGGAAGATCAGTGTTGGGGGGATAACTGTGGAAACCTTCCAGACGCTACCAGATGGTCGCATCAATTATGATCTGAGTGACTTCCTGTTCGACCATGAGCAGCGTGCACATGAGGCACTTGAGCACCTTCATGAGTCTCAACCTGTGTTGACACCATTTCATGCTCATCTAGGTAAGTCTTCAATATCTTGATCCAAAATACAATACCTGCATAGACCTCGAGAACAGAGCCGTCAGTGATAGGTCATTCATTCCTTTACCTCTGGAAGATGAAAAACCAATTTTGTTAATAATAAAATTTGTATTAGATGTCAGACCTGAAAAGTGAAAATGGGACCCATAGGCACGACTGCCCGTTAGGGACAGTGTGGATAAAGCATTGTATAAAAAGACTTCATTACACAAGGAGGCAGCTTGGCCGGTACTGCACTCGACCGCATTCACTTCACCCATTTACAGCTGGGTGAACTGAGAGTGCCCATGATTGAACCACCGACCCACGGAACAGGAGGCGAGCGCTCCATCCACATGATTGCCACATTCCTTTTCTATCCTAACCTAACCCAAAAAGTATATGTAGAGTGTAGTATAGCACACATGCTACGTGTCAGAGTATGATACGGGGAGGTTGTTGAAATAAATGGTACTGTATTATGTGTGCGTGTGGTGGGATAGGGGAAGTACAGTCCCCTTCACGAATGCATTTACAGAGGGTCATGATATAAACATTCCAAAAATCATTATCTTTGAGATATTTATTTTAATATTGTTTTAATTTGATTATATATAATGTTTACTATTGCAAGTTTCCTTCTGTCGAATGTAAAAAAAAAAAAAAAAAACGCAGGACTGCCACACTGCACAAAACCTGACAAGCCCCTGTAAACACACAATTGAAGGGGACTGTACATCTTTGAAAAAGTGTGAGTAACAAGAGAGTTTTCAGTAATGCTCTTCTTCACCTACTTTAGCTGTATGTAAAATAAAAAGTGTTCATGCAAGGGCCTGTATAGACAGAAGCTTAATTTATACACATGTATTAAGGCCAAAGCTATTTGGTTTTTATTTTGACTCCAGAAAACAAAGAAGATATGTACGATGAGCTAATGAAAGGCATGTACGATGAGCTAATGAAAGACGTGTACGATGAGCTAATGAAAGACGTGTACGATGAGCTAATGAAAGACGTGTACGATGAGCTAATAAAAGACGTGTACGATGAGCTAATGAAAGACGTGTACGATGAGCTAATGAAAGACGTGTACGATGAGCTAATAAAAGACTTGTACGATGAGCTAATGAAAGACGTGTACGATGAACTAATGAAAGACGTGTACGATGAGCTAATAAAAGACGTGTACGATGGGCTAATGAAAGACGTGTACGATGAACTAATGAAAGACGTGTACGATGAGCTAATAAAAGACGTGTACGATGAGCTAATAAAAGACGTGTACGATGAGCTAATAAAAGGCGTGTACGATGAGCTAATAAAAGGCGTGTACGATGAGCTAATAAAAGGCGTGTACGATGAGCTAATAAAAGGCGTGTACGATGAGCTAATAAAAGACGTGTACGATGAGCTAATAAAAGACGTGTACGATGAGCTAATAAAAGACGTGTACGATGAGCTAATGAAAGACGTGTACGATGAGCTAATGAAAGACGTGTACGATGAGCTAATGAAAGACGTGTACGATGAGCTAATAAAAGGCGTGTACGATGAGCTAATAAAAGGCGTGTACGATGAGCTAATAAAAGGCGTGTACGATGAGCTAATGAAAGGCGTGTACGATGAGCTAATAAAAAACGTGTACGATGAGCTAATGAAAGACGTGTATGATGAGCTAATAAAAGACGTGGGTGGGTGTTCTTTACTCATTTGATATTGTGTTTGCTTCACAAAAAAAACACTTTCTAAAACTAAGCAATGCACATTTGTCCAGCCCTTTAACCAGTGTACTATATCTCCAAGTTGTTGGGTGACCTTCCTCCAGCCACAGATGGCCCAGAAGGTCATGTGTCTTAGGCTTCCTCAGGAAGGATATAATTCTTGAAGATCAAAGATTGTCAAATTTCGTCTTTTCTCACACAACAGTTCTAAAGAAAAGAGTAAAAACCGCGACATGACACTACAGTATACTGTATCTCCTGGAAGTGGTTTAGGAGAACTGGAGGTGAATTTAGGCTTAAAAAAATAAATACGTAGATAAATTCCATCAAAGTAAATTTGAATAAATTTTTCTCCTTTGACTTGCTGGTGTCTTTGTCAAGGTATATTGATGAATGTGTTAGGTGTGATGGGTGGTAACTGGCATATTGCAGTAGTCAGATGAATCAGAATACATGTACAGTACTTTTGCTCTTTTGGGGGTCAATCTTAAGTCCTTTTATTTTAGGAAAAATCCATCGGTCTGAATTTAACGTACATAAATTTTACAGATATAACCACTGTGGCCATGTAATCTATTAGGAATCGAAGCATCTGTTGTCTATTACTTTATATGTTGTCAACTGGCTGACTGTCTGCCTTTGGTAAGATGATGCTCAAGGAATTTACAAAGTCATAGAATACCTAACCTGACAGGAGTTTATAATAACTTAAACTAAATTCAGCCTTTCCTCTTTCCAACCTCAGCAGAGGTTACAGTGACTACATTTTCTCAAGAGATACTAGAAATGACATTATAGACAGTGATGAGATGTTGATGGGGACAGTAAACTTCCTATCACAGTTCAATCCTGAGAGGGGTGGGGTGTCTCCTGCTGAAGAAAGTTTATTTTGTCTTAAAATAAAACCTATCTCGATTATCCCTTTTCGCTGCCATTTCCGCACTTGCCATTTTATTCAGCTTAGGGTAACCTGCCACAGCCAACGGGTTAATGTGTTTACAAAAGTTGGCTTGAAAGACTTGCTGACATTAAACCTTCAGACTCTGGGATGGTATAATTATTCATTATATTTATCTTTAAGTGTTCTGTGAACCTCCACACTAACCTGGAGTAACAAGGGTTAGGGCCTCGGCAAATGAAGTATGTTTATCTCGTAGAGAGTAATGGTGTACCTGACTATACGGATTACCTCTCGTGCAGTAAACATCAAAAAAGAGTTTTTATCAGGCTCAGGACTATCATTATTACATGACCTGTACTGGACTTAGTATTTAAGTATCATGTTTCACTTGCAAGCTATTAGTAATATATATATATATATATATATATATATATATATATATATATATATATATATATATATATATATATATATATATATATATATATTCTGTCTAGGGTTTGTTGGTTTGCTCCATAGAGTACAATAAATATGTTAAGATCTGTCTGCTGGTGTATGAATCACTAATTTAAACTTTTATTTTCACTTACTAAAAAGAAATAAGTATTTCAGGGTTAGTGGAAGTTATCTTGGTGTACAACATGTAATCAAGTCTTATTCTTACCCTTATTGTTCTTGTTTACAGAGCTCCCGCCCTTCTGAGTGTGTTCATGATGACCACCAGACAATCGTTGTACACATAACATCAACATCCTCCTCTCCTGACAGCTGAATGATGTCTAATATGCAATTATTATGAAAGTCAATACATGTAGACATTTTATTTACCGGGTACTCATTTATTTAGATGAATCCTTTTTTTTAATAATTTAGTGTGATTATTATTGTAATAATTCATAATACCTATTGTATTTTATGTAAGATACTGTAATTACTTTTATTTAATCAGGCGTGGTGTAACATGTAGTATCCAGAGGTGTGGAAAGTATATGTACAGTACAGTAATCTGAAAAAAATATATAGTATACTGGAAAAATAGCCTTCATGAATTGTACTAAAATTGGAGTATAAACGTACTAATTTATTGTGTATTTTATTACTGAAAAGTAACAGTTAAGTTGTTTTTCAAATGTTGGTTCAACATTTCTCCCATACATCCCCATCTTTGCCTTCTCTGACAGTTATCTTTTTATCTAAATATTTATCAATCCATCATTTCCTCTTTTCTTTAGTAATTGTGGGTCAGTTCATCACTCATCATTCTAATTGCTGACATCCATTCCCAGATATATAAAACCCTCCATTTAACTCTACTGTATTCTATATTCATTCAAGCGAACACTATTTTGTCAAAAGTCTCCCCTCTCTACTTATTTTCATCACTTGCTTTTCTTTCACATTCACTGATAGCAAAATCCTAACAAATACTCTTCCCAACTCTTTCACTAATATTTGACTGCTCCAGGGTCATTTCAACTGATAACTCCACCTAACTCACCTCCCAAGTATTTCCCATATTATGACTCACTAAACTAACACTTCTCTCTAATACTGTTGGTTATTTTCACCTCTCTTACTACAGGTATAGCATTAGTTAAAATACAAATTAGCCTATTATGTCCAACTGTTATTGGAAAACAGTTTACCTTTTCTCATCTCACTCCAACACATGTTCCTTTCTCCCCGTCAAAACTCTGGACATCATTCAATAGCTTCCCATTTACCTTTTACCTTGTCAATACCTTTTACACTACTCTTCAACTACTCTTATCATATGATTTTTCTAAATTCGTAAATGTATGTTTCACTTATGTACTTTACGCAAAGCCTTGATTCACACTTTCTCTGTCTTTCCTGAACCCACATGCTCTGCTCTTCCCCTGTCTCATTCTCTCTCATCTTGCTACAACTTTCAGTAACAGGTCACACCTGATATACTCAACTTTTTACTTTTATCCTCTTCACCACTGATCAGCTTGTCAGCCGCTTGGGCGATCGGTCATGTCTGTTACTTTTCTTAACCCCTATGTTTACTTATATTCTAATCGTCTTTTTTCTACAGATTTTGGCAACATTGTAAAGTACAGTACTTAAGTTAAAGTACAATATTTTTTTCCAATACTTTAATTAATTTGACGGTAAAAGTACCACAAGGTAAATGTACTTTCCACAAAGTAGATTTTCGGAAAAAGAAAACTTCTTAAGTAAAGGTACATAAGTAAAGGTACTCCACTACTCCACACCTCAGGTATCTCACAAATACGGCATAAGTAAGACAGGAAATGTAGTTTGTTGATCGTATGATGTACAGTTTAGTACAGTACTGTACTATGCTACCTGAAGGCTCAGCATGTTATGGCCTGTGTGAGAACACTCGGAACACCGTTATTACAAAATACTATATCAGTTTGTGTGTGTGTGTGCGCAGATGTTTATTACAGTACAGTACTTTGATTTTTTAGAGGTGGGATCTTATGGTTCAGTAGTGTGATATCTTTTTTGTTAATGTGTGAAGAAATATGATTCATATACGTATTGAATTTATCTTAAAGACACTAATAGAATATTTGTTCATATTGTTTGCTTGAAGAATCTGAAGATCCTTGAGCAAATTATCTAAAATTTGAATTAAATAATATTGTCCATGAGTGCATTTATTGTCTCCTTTATTTGCTATTTTAATAAATTCAGTTAACATGTGTTATAATAAGGTGGATCACGGCCCGAGGAAGTGGTAGAGTAAGAAGTGAAAGATGAGTGACAAATCACTGTAAGACATCCCCAGGTAATGAGTGACCAGGAGTACACTGCTTCATTAGGACGCCATCTACTGTACGTGCTCTGTACAGTACAATGTTTATCCAAAGGTAATGACCCATTCTAGTCTTTATTTTCTCAGTGAATCTGTACTCACTGACGAATACCATGACAGTATATCCTGTTGTACTAGTACTGGGAATTTGTGGCAATATATCATGTTTTACAAGTAGTAATATCTCCGTGAGACTAACGGGAAAAAAATCCCTCAAACCCGTAACTCTCCGATAGCCGAAATTGAAATTTTCTCGGAAAATCATAACCCAAAGCTGGAATTTTCCGGAAAATTCAGGCTTTGGGAATGATTTTCCGAGGGACACTTTTTCCAGAAAATTCAGAGAAAATATTCCCGTTACCTGGAAAATAACTGGGATGAGGGATTTTTTCCCGCTTTGAGGGAATATATCATGTACTAGTACCAGGAACCTGTGGCAATATATCATGTTGTACTAGTACCAGGAACTTGTGGAAATATATCATGTACTAGTACCAGGAACCTGTGGCAATATTTCATGTTGTACTAGTACCAGGAACCGGTGACAGTATATCATGTTCTAGTACCAGGAACTCGCAATACAGTATCATATTATACTAGTACCAGGAACCTGTGACAGTATATCATGTTATATTAGTACCAGGAACCTGTGACAGTACATTGTATCATGTTATACTAGTACTGGGAACCTGTGACAGTATATCATGTCATACTAGTACTGGGAACCTGTGACAGTAGTTAATTTTATACTAGTACCAGGAACCTGTGGCAGTATATCATGTTGTACTATTACCAGGAACTCGCAGTACAGGGGGGTATATCATGTTATACTAGTACCAGGAACCCTTAATAGTATACAGGACAGTATCATGTTATACTAGTACCAAGAACTATGGGAGTATATCATGTTGTACAGGTACCAGGAACCTGTGACAGTACATCATGCTATACTACATCAAAATACTACTGGTTATGCTTGTTTTGCACTCCAGTATTAATAGTACACCTAAATAAAGGTGAATGTTTTACTAAAAAGCAGAATACCTCACAGCAGTCGTCGGCAGCCACAACACCCTCAGCCAGTGTCTTAAATAGATGGTTGATGATACAAATAAGGTGCAATGTTACCATAAACATAGCTACTGTTAGACACTAGATTATATTGCTGGCCACTCAACAGTTTTCCTCATAAAAGGTAGGGTCAAGGTCCACCAGCAGCTCCCCAGTAGCACAAGTGGTGTCACTGGCGATAAGGTTGAGAAAGGTGGGGTTTAACACAATCCAGGCAATGTCACAGCCGCAAAACAGAGGATTACCTGGAGATAAGGGAAAACTGTGTTACCTGGGGTAAAATGCATTACTTTGGGAAGACATTGTTACTTGGGATAAGGTACATTCCTTGGAGAGACTGTGTTACTCAGGATTAGTTACCCTACTTGGGGAAGATTGGATTACTTGTGAAAATGTGTTGCTTGAGGGAAGCTGTGTTACTTGGGATAAGATACTGTATTTGGGGAAGACTGTTTCTGGAGGTAGACTGTGTTACTTGAGAAAGGCTGTGTTGAATGTTGGGCGTGTGTACATTTGCAACTAATGTGATAACTAGTATACTGGGCATATGAACATTAACTAGTAATAATATGAATGCTAGTATACTGGGTGTGTGTAGATTTGCAGCTAATGTGAACATTAAAGTGGAGTAACTAGTGTCTCACCTCCGAGAAACAGTTGCACATCGTCAAGTAGCAACGGCTGCCACACCTCTTCCTCTATGACCGTTAACTGGTTCCCCCACATGAAGATGCCATCGCCAGCGCCCAGACCTGTAGACATACACTGTGTCACCACCACCACTGATTCCCTAATGATATTTACTGCTTAACATGCAAACTCTCTCTCTCTCTCATTCAGCGATGACAGAATGAAAGGTTATTTTTATTGGTCTCGTCTTCGTTGGTGAGCTCTAAGGTGGCTCTAGAGACCACTTCTGGACTGGCAGGATCGTCCTGAAGTGTTGCATGTGTGGAGGACTTAATCTATCAGAGGGGCGGCGGCAGCATCCTTCTGACGCTAGTGCTTTTCAGACTCTGTGTATACTCGACCAAACTTCACGGTTTTTAACGTCCTCTAGTGTGGGGCTTCAAATGTTATGGTGTGGGGTGATCATCTCATAGAGATGTCAGCGTCAATTTGTCACTTTTTCAGGTTTGCTGTAAGTGTATCCATGTACAGTCTCGTTCAAGATTCTTCGAACACTGCTGGAGACAGCTGGCAACTCAAGGCTGTTTGTTTACTATAGTACGTAGTATAATATAACACGAAACAAAAAAGCCCAACCATTAATTAAGAAACGGGGAACTAAGTATCCAATCACAGATCACTTTTCCATTCATTCCTAATTTTTACTGCGTACTATAGTAAACAAACGGAAACGGGCTTGAGTTGCCAGCTGTCTCCAGCAGTGTTCGAAGAATCTTGAACGAGACTGTACTTATTCCTTTGCCCTCCAGCACAAGTTTGCCATTCTTTTAATGATTGATTGTAGAACTTCTTTGGTGTCTGCTGCTCTTACAGTTAGTATTAGCAAGAATACTGGCATTTATCCTAGGATGGAACATAGACTACGTTGATGACAGTTTTTTAGTGTCGTGAGGTGTTTCTCAGGAGTATTTGGGAATCACATATCATTTGGGGAGTTCCACGAACAACCAGTGCTTGTTCATTGGTAATTTTTTTTTTTTTTTTTACAGATTTAAGGAGGTTCATGTTTGGCTCTCATAGCGAACAGTAAGAAAGAATAAGAGGGCAGGAAGGACACTACATAACACAGGTGAAGGTCTCTCACCTGAGAAAGCGTTGACGGCAACCTTACTGACGTTGTTCATTTGAATTTCCACATAATGGCGTCCAGCGCTGACGAAGTGTATGGTTCCCTCCGGCAGCTCACTCAAGTGATTGTCGTAGAGTGTTACCTCCAGGAAGTCGTGTAGGCCAGAGAACGTGCCTGAAGGAACACCTTGATGAATGGAGGGTGTGGTGATGGTTGGTGGGTGTGATGATAGGTGGTGGGTGTAATGATGGGTGGTGGGTGTGGTGATAGGTGGTGGATGTAGTGATAGGTGGTAGATGTAGTGATAGGTGGGTGTGGTGATGGTTGGTGGGTGTAGTGATAGGTGGTAAGTGTGGTGATAGGTGGATGTGTGGTGATGGTTGGTGGGTTGTAGTGATGGGTGGTAGTGTGGGCGATGGGTGGTGGGTGTTGTTGATGGGTGGTAGATGTGATGATGGAATTAGATTATTGGTGATGGTTGGTGGAGTTGTGATGATAGGTGGTGGGTGTAATGATGGGTGGTGGATGTGGTGGGTGGTGGGTGTGGTGATGGGTGATGGATGTAGTGATGGGTCAGGTAGATGTAGTGATTAGATTAGTTAGTCGATGGTTGGTGGGTGTAGTGATAGATTGGTAGAATGTGGGGATAGGTGGTGGGTGTGGTCGATGGTTGGTGGGTGGTGGGTATAGTGATGGTGGTAGATGTGATAGGAGGTTGTTGATGGCTGGTGGGTGTGGTGACAGATTGGTGGGGAGTGTGGTGATAGAGGTGGAAGTGGTAATGGGGTGTGTATGATGGGTGGTGGGTGTGGTGATAGGTGGGTGTGGTGATGGAGGTGGAGTAGTAATGGGGTGTATTTGGTGATGGGGGCCATGGTTGTTGGTGGATGTGCGAATAGAATGCAGAGGGTGGAGTGTCGGTATGGTGAGGCTTGGTTGCCTGTGGTGGAATTATTAATGGGTGATGGGTGTGGTGAGAGGTGAGTGTAGTGTCGTTGGGTTTGGGGTGAGTGTAGTGATGGATTGTGTTGGGGTGAGTGTGGTGATGGGTGTGGTGAGGTGAGTGTAGGATGTGGTGAGAGGTGAGTGTGGGGTGTGGTGAGGTGAGTGTGGTGATGGGTGTGGTGAGTGAGTGTGGTGTGGGTGTGGTGAGAGTGAGTGTAGTGATGGGTGTGGTGAGGTGAGTGTAGTGATGGGTGTGGTGAGGTGAGTGTAGTGATGGGTGTGGTGAGAGGTGAGTGTGATGGGTGTGGTGGGTGAGGTGTGGTGTGTGTGGGTGTGGTGAGAGGAGTGTGAGTGTGGTGATGTGGTGTTTGTGGTAAAAGGTTATGGGTGTCATGAAGGGTTGTGGGGGTGTTAGGTGGTTATAGATTGTGGTTGTAGTGGTGGGTGTGGCGATATGGTAGTGGGATATGAGTGTGGTGATGAGTAGTAGTTGTGAAGAGTGGTGTTGGGTGGTGAGTGTGATGAGGGGTGATGAGTTGGGTGAGGGATGGAGAGTGTGGTGTGTGATCAGTGGTGGTGAGTGTGGTGAGTGGTGTGGTGTGGGGGGTGTGGTAGGGTGGTGGGTGTGGTGGGGTGAAGGTGGTGGTGGTGAGGATGGTGTGTGATGGTGGTATGTGATCAGTGGTGGCAGTGTGATGGTGGTGGTGTGGTGGGGTGGTGTGTGGAGGGATGGTGAAGAGTTGTGTGTGGTGAAGGGTGGTGAGTGTGGTAGGGGGTGGTGAAGGTGGTGATGAGGGTGGTGAGTGTGGTGGGGTGGTGTGTGATGAGGGGTGGTGAGGTTGTGTGGTGAGTGGCAGTGTGGTGGGGTGGTGAAAGTGGTGTGTGTGAGTGTGGTGGGGTGGTGTGTGATGAAGGGTGGTGGTGGGAGGAGGTGTGTGATCAGAGGTGGAGGTGTGATGAGTGTGGTAGGAATGGTGTTTGTGGTGGTGGTGAGGAGTGGCGTGTGGTGAGTGTGGTGGGGAATGTGTGGTGAGGGTGGTGTGTGATGAGGGTGGTGTGTGGGGGTGTGTGCGTGGTGAGGAGTGGTGTGTGTTGAGGGTGGTGGAGTGTGGTGGGGTGGTTGTGTGTGAGGGGTGATGGGTGTTTTTGGTGGGTGTGGTGAGGATTGGTGTGTGGTGGGGCGTGGTGAGGTGGCGTGTGGTAGGGGTGGTAGGTGTGGTGAGGTGGTGTGTGTGGTGTGGTGTGGGGTGTGGGGTGGGCGTGGTGGGGTGGTGGGGGTGGTGTGTGGGGGGTGTGGGGGGCGTGTGGATGGTGTGTGTGGTGGGGCGTGGTGTGTGGTGGGGGTGGTTGTGTGGTGGGGTGTGTGGTGTGGTGAGGGGGTGTGTGGTGGGGTGGTGGTGTGGGTGGTGTGGTGGTGGTGGTGAGGTGGTGGTGAGGGTGGGTGTGGTGTGGTGAGGGGTGATGGTGTTTAGGGGTGGTGGTGTGGTGAGGTGGCGTGTGGTGGGGTGGTGTGGTGGGGTGGGTGTGGTGGGGTGGTGGGTGTGGTGGGGTGGCGTGTGGTGGGGTTGGTGGGTGTGGTGGGGTGGCGTGTGGTGGGGTGGGGGTGTGGGGTGTGTGGGTGGGGTGGTGGTGTGGTGGGGTTGGTGGGGTGTGTGGTGGTGGTGGGTGTGGGTGTGGTGGTGTGGTGGGGGTGTGGTGAGGTGGTGGGTGGTGGTGGGTGGGTGTGGTGGGGTGGTGGTGTGGTGGGGTGGGGGTGGGTGGGTGGTTGGTGGTGTGTGGGGTGTGGGGTGGTGGTGTGGTGGGGTGGGGTGTGGTGGGGTGGTGGTGTGGTGGGGGGTGGGGTGTGGTGGGGTGGTGTGTGTGTGGTGGGGTGGTGGGTGGTGGGGTGGCGTGTGGTGGGGTGGTTGGGGTGGCGTGTGGTGGGGTGGTGGGGGTGGGTGTGGGAGTGGTGGTGTGGTGAGGTGGCGGTGGTGGGGTGATGAGTGTGGGAGGTGTGGTGAGGAGTGGTGAGTGTGGTAGGGGTGGTGTGTGATAAGGGGTGATGAGTGTGGTGATAACAACGTGTGGTAAGAGATGATTTAGGGTAATATGAGATCTGTGTTACATACATCACATCCCAGGCTACGCGTATGCGTGCTTTTATATACGTTGTAAAAAAATAATAATCTACAATGAAAATTAACTAATAATTAGGGTTTTAATACTGTATTGCTGGATCCACGTCTTGCTAAGTCAACAGTCTGGAAGAGGGGAACGCTGTGCAAGGGTGCCTGGCCATCCCCAAGTGTTGTAGTGTGTCTGAGATGATGGTTGGGAATGATGGAATTTGGTTGACCGAGAGTTCCAGTTGTTGCAGGTTCATGAATGAAGACAGTTCTGCCCAAGGAAATTTTGTTATTTTGTTTGTTGGAAAAATCAAGTCAGTGGCGGTGGAGAAGCTGGCGGAAAGAGCGCCCTCCTCCACCTCCTGTAGAACACCTCCATATATATAAAACTGCTGAAAGGTGTTGTTGTTCGTCCCAGCCTTCAGCACCTTGAGATAAAATTAATTTCTATGGTTAATGTGCGGAAGCTGGGGAAGGGGAAGCTAAGTGACATAATGTGTGCCAGTTGGTCCTCACTCTCCACGTTAAACAGTCAGTCAACATTACGTTCTTCATCCACTGTACACACACAGGGAAGTATGGTCGCCTCGTCAGCAGGTTGGAACAAGTAAATAGTCTCCTCTTGCTGCCACTCCAACATTCACACAGCCTGACGCCATCACCACAATACAGAGCTTATGGAGTAACATGGTTTGTTGCAGTGATAAGGTGCCACAAGTCCTGACGATGATTTCCGCCACACCACACCTCCTGTTTCACCTAACCTTATATACTATAGTGCTAGTGTGTGTGTGTGTGTGGTCAGCATGACTAGCCTAGCAAGCGAGCGGATCCGGGTTCGATCCCCGGGCAGGGTGAAACTGGACAAAGTTCTTTACGCCATTTGCCTCTTTCTACCCAGCTGTAATTGGGAACCTGGGTGTTAATCTATTTGCGTATCGTATTCCGGGGTAATGGTTAGCCAGTGCAGTTGGCGAGTTGTCAGGTCTTCTCGGACTATTCCTTGACTGGGTCACCGCAACTCGTTAACTCAGGGTATGATTGTTGTGTTGGCGACAGCTTCTACACCTTAAACAAATTCACTCCTAGGTGGCCCTTGGGCCAGATATCCTCGTTACACGAGGGGCAACCATTAGTAGTTTAGTGTACCTTCCCTTCATGTAATAAGTGACCTTACCTGTTTCAATGCTTATGAAAGACTTGTAGAGTAGTTTGTCGGTGAAATAGAAATGAGTGACGTTGATACTGATATGAATTCATATCAGTATCAACGTCACATTACTAAAGTATTTAAAAACACCATAGTTATTATTTCAGCCTTCTCACCTTAACCTACCTGTCGTTATCACCTGGGAGGTAAGGATAGGTTGCACTAGGTTTGATTATATTGGATAACGTTAGGTTACGTTACGTTACGTTAATGTTAGCATTAAATTCGGTTAGGTTACGTTAGTTTATGTTACGTTACGTTACGTTAGCGTTAGGGTGTTCAGTCATCAGGTGAAATAATTATGGTGCCTTATATTCAAGTGATCTATTTTCCTTGATGTTAGTGTTGTTTATGAGTGAGAACCTGAGGCGACAGTAGCAACAGGTGATACAGTTCCCTCACCCTGTGAACCTTCCACCTGACTCGTCACCATTCACAGTAACAAGAATCTTCCTTGTCTCTGTGTTACGTGACGCTATACACCCGCCATTATACACCCTCACACAATCTTTCTCATACACCCCGTTTCACCTACGATCATATGCCCAGAAACACGCACCATCATACACCAGACACACCGTGGGCACCGTAGGGTCATACATCTTCGCCCTCTGACCTGACCTGACCTGTATGAAGTGTAGTACTGATGTGAGAGGTTAATGTTTGTGTTTTACTTATCTCAGTACCGCGACCCTATAAATGGGGACTGTATGAATAACTAAGCTGTGTAGAGGAAAATTACAGTGTAACGGTATGATACAGTGAGGTGGCACCCTTAGCTTCGGCCCTCAATTCAACACTTGCGTCACCGGTGACTCGGTCCCAACAGATTGCGTACATGAAACTGCGCCTACTGTAGGTTAGAGTAATGTAGTGTACCGTTTGTGGCCAGTTGTCAATTCTCTTTAGTTGTCTATTATCTCTTTGTATGGGCACACAAACGTACGTACATGTAGATACCTTCACTCAGGAATGAGGTTGGATAGAAACTCACGA